CAAGAGTGTCCTACAAGAGTGACCCACAAGAGTGTCCTACAAGAGTGTCCTATAAGAGTGTCCCACAAGAGTGTCCCACAAGAGTGTCCCAAAAGAGTTTCCTACAAGAGTGTCCTACAAGAGTGTCCCACAAGAGTGTTCAGAGTGTCCTACAAGAGTGTCGTGTAAGAGTGTCCCACAAGAGTGTCCTGCAAGTGACCCACACAAGTGTTCTACAAGAGTGTCTCACAAGAGTGTCCTACAAGATTGTCCCACAAGAGTGTCCCACAACAGTGTCCTAGAAGAGTGTCCCACAAGAGTTTCCTAAGAGTGTCCCACAAGAGTGTCCTGCAAGTGACCCACAAGAGTGTCCGACAAGAGTGTCTCACAAGGTGTCCCACAAGAGTGTCCCACAAGAGTGTCCCACAAGAGTGTCCTATAAGAGTGCCCCACAAGAGTGTCCTACAGGAGTATCCCACAAGAGTGTCCTACAAGAGTGTCCTACAAGAGTGTCCTACAAGAGTGTCCCACAAGAGTGTCCTACAAGAGTGTCGTGTAAGAGTGTCCCACAAGAGTGTCCTACAAGAGTGTCGTACAGGAGTGTCCTACAAGAGTGTCCCACAAGAGTGTCCCACAAGAGTGTCCTACAAGAGTGTCCCACAAGAGTGTCCCACAAGAGTGTCCCACAAGAGTTTCCGACGAGAGTGTCCTACAAGAGTGTCCTACAAGAGTGTCCCACAAGAGTGTCCTACAAGAGTGTCGTGTAAGAGTGTCCCACAAGAGTGTCCTGCAAGTGACCCACAAGAGTGTTCTACAAGAGTGTCTCACAAGAGTGTCCCACAAGAGTGTCCTACAAGAGTGTCCCACAAAAGTGTCCCACAAGAGTGTCCCACAAGAGTGTCCCACAAGAGTGTCCTATAAGAGTGTCCCACAAGAGTGTCCTACAAGAGTGTCCCACAAGAGTTTCCTACAAGAGTGGCCCACAAGAGTGTCCTACAGAGTGTCCCGCAAGAGTGTCCTTTGGACATATTAGTTTTTCGATCGTGTTTGCATTCGGGTTCGTGGGTTCCATCTTGTTTCTCGATCAGCAGACATGCCTTACATAGAATTTTCCACCAGAATGGAATCTACTTCAAGTCAACAAGGTCTGAGGTACTGCTCATCGGGTCGAGTCCACTCCGATTGAACAATGTGCTAAGAAGGGAAGTATGAGGCTAAGCACACCCATGAACAAAAATCATCGTTGATTAGTTAAAAGAGATCAGCTCTCCTATATAGTCGATCAAATCGAGTTTGACAATCATTTGGTTGTGTTGTGTGGCTCGGATTAACTGTGAAGAAGGGGGTTCCATAACACCCACAGGCTTATTCATGGAGGACATGAGCCACCAATACCCATTCAATTGGGGTGAATGTTTGAGGCTGTTATGGCTCGGCTTAACTTGGGGAATGCTTATTCATCCTGACTTTGCATGATTGACATTGATCATTTATGGTATATATTATGGTATAGACCCCTTGACTCCTCGGATGCCTGTTTTGGTCTACTGAAGATGGCTGGACTTGCCCTGTTGGAGCTCTTGCATGACATTTCACCGGAAAAAGACGTGGAACGGGGCACCAGGCTTCAGATGTGGCGACGTAGCTTGCCGCCATTGAACGCATGGCATGCCCAGCGACCATGGCATGAAAGTCGTTCAAGTTTTGGTATCATTGGTGGACCGTTTGGATAGGCAAAGATGAACGCGACGCCTCTCTTGACCCCTTCTGTAGCCAGTCACTTCAACAACTAGGACAAGTTCCCAGACCTTCAAGGCTTCCGATCAACGTGCCCAGACATGCCCCGCCGGACTACACCACTGTCCCCTTTGAAAAAACATGTGCCAGGTGAGACCACGCACTCCACCACCACATCCACCACCCCGCAGCCGTTGGAAGCCCGGCGGAAGTTCCATCATCATCGGTTGGCTTGGATGTGTTTCAAGAAAAGAAGAGGGCAGATTGCGGTTCGCTGGGCCATGCGTTAGCTGTTTTGACTTGACCTGGCACATTGGCGGTCCAGGTCTTTGGATGAGCTAATGGAAGATCCTCACTTTCAGCAACTGCTGCCTGGGACTCAGGGCCACAGGTTTTTCATGCACCAGGAAGGTGCCACAACTTGAAAACGCGCCTTGAAGAAGACGACACTCCCTGAAATAGTGGAGTTCACCACCTGTTTGTAGAGGCAAATTCTCATGCAAGGGTCCATGCCATCCACTTCCATTGTTATTTCATGATATTTTGGGGACCCGGGAGTGTGTACACAGATGCTAGCAGCTTAAAGATTGCTAAAGTACTGCCCTGAGTGACTCTGGGTTTGTGCCCATCCTTTCTGTTGCGGTTTATATAACTGTGACCTCATCTCATTCCCTCGCGTGGTGTTTTTTGTTTGACTCAGACGTTGATGGCCGAGAAATGCGGCTGCAACCTGCTACAGTTTGTCAGACTGGACCCTCTCAGAAGACTTGGCACAAAGGCTTTTGTGTGACAGGGCCTCAGCTAGGCCAGAAGCTCTATTTGAGATGTGGCAGTGTCATGATGTCCTGGGCGAGGCAGCAGGAAGAGGAGCTTCACCAGCCGGAGATGCGATCGCCTCAGTGGGCCGTCTCACACTCACTGGTCAGCTGGTATGTCGCAGTCATATGTTTGTTGATTTAATTGGCATCAAAACCCAGTCCGCCTTGTCCCTGTTTCAGCTATCTTCCATGTTTGCCACCCACTGCCCGTTCGTGGGAACACATGTTTGATGCTGCGAGCAACTGAGGGCAACAGGGCCCTTGCCAACTTCTCACCCTGCAGCTGGGAGACCCAGCTGCAGGCTGCGCAGCCTGTGAGGATTGGCTCGGTCAGCCTTGATCGCTTGAGGATGTGACCAAGGTACACTTAAGGCTTCACATGTCAAGTGTTGCTGAAACACGTTCAATCAATCCAACGACTCTTACCTCGTCGGAAGTTTGTGTGCTTCATTCTTGGGTTCAAGCACAGTGAAACGGCATTGAGAAGAGTTGTGCGAACAAACATTAATCAGGTGACGCTGCGGAAGGGTTGGAAATTGCAGCCCAGCAGGCGCAACATGGTGGAAACTGTGCCGTAGTCAGAAGCTAAATGATCGCCACAAGAATCCTTTTCCTACACTAATGGCTTACAGTTTTGATGGATTGCATCTTGCCCATTTTTTCAACTTTCACTGCATGATGACCCGGGTAGCAGGCAGAAGAATACTTGGTAGAAGGATTGTTTGGTATTTTTGTTGTCGGGCCAGGAGTGTGCTAGAAGTGCTAATTAGGATTTTGCATTGGAACCTTTTGCATGGAGAACTTGATTTTGTGGCGGCGCGTTGTGTCAAGTTGACCTTTTAGGAGATCGTGGGCCATTTTCCACGCGGGGTCCGCTCCAACGAACTGGAACTGGAGAAACGTCCGCAGAGCGATGTGATCGAGTGGAACTGCTGATTGACCAATGTGGCACGACTTGACGAATGCACCCGGCCATGGCCATCAGCGGGTTTACCCTTGAGCCACTGGGCTCGCGCAATGCAGGTCACCAGTGGTGGCACCAATGGGGCAGGCGGATCCGGAACAATGTCGTGCTCGTGGTTTCGGGCGCAATGGGTCAAACCACAAGACCACTCACAAGCCCAACGCCGGGCTCCTCTTAAGGCGGGCTTGAAGTTCTGGTATGAATTGTTGTCCATTTGGACACCACTGTCAACCTTTTCAATGCGTTTGACGTGGACAGAGAGCAACGATCCATTTGTTGTGTCCAATGTATAGATCGACTGAAGTTCACGGGATTCTGCCACCACAATAGCAAGATGGAAAGAGGAGAGCCACCAGAGTCACCAGAGGGCGTCACAAACGCAACAGGAACGCCATGCAGTCAAGCAGTTGCAGTATTTTAGGCTCTTGCAAGAAGCGACATGAGAAAGGTGCCAGATGCTGAGATTCTGACGCCGAGAAAAGATAGCGCCAAAAGAAACGAGAGAACCCTTGAAGTGGCCCCTTGAATATTCCAGGACTCAATGTGCAACAGTTGTCCATAATTTGT